TCTTTCAGTACTGGCTATTTATCTAAATTTCAGCTCCTATGGCTCAGTACCTCTAAGCATATGCAGATTTCTTTCTGTCCTATAGAAAAATAAGGTAGACTTACCATCCTTTTTTTTTTCTTTTTTCACTAATGGCAGGCAAGCTTCCATTAAAAAAAAATGTTACAAGGCTTATACACACTAGAAGGCAAAGATGGCACAGCTGGATTGGTTAAAGCTGTTCTAACTCTGCATTTTTCAATGTGACAGGGGGCTGAACGGATAAAATGAGAGTCAGGACTGTCATCTATGGGTTGCACAAGCTTGCTTCCTGCTGATTATAGCTGAAAGTCTGTAACAGATGCAAGACAACCTCAGCATGAAACATAGGAAGGGGATGGCACAAGATCATCCCAGTTGCCAAGCAAAAGCAGGGCAGAATCTTGACCTAAACGTGGAACTCTTGAGTCGTTGGCTAAAGTGACCTATTGCTCTAGGCCAGGGGTGTCCAATCTTGGCAACTTTAAGACCTAGGGACTTCAATTCCCAGAATTCCTCAGCCTGTCATGGCTCTTAGGGTGTTCTGGATTGCCAAACTCCATCTTGGTCTCTCTCTCTCTCTTGAATGTGTATGTGTGTGTAAGCTGCTGACTTTTAGAATGCGCTTCTCTGCCCTTTCCTCTTCAGATGCTCAGAATATTCAGCAACATTTAGCCCTGGATGCGGCCCCATCCAGGGAGGATACAATTAAATCCTACTTCTGTGTAGCAGAAAGACTTGTTGGAAAACATGGGTGCCTGCTTTCAATGTAACATCCAGCCTCACCTGATTCCATCAAAGTAGGCAGAAAACACTCCTTCCCCCCACATACATACATATTAATTTGCGCTGATTTTTTACCTTCTGCAAGACAAAGAAAATATGAGGTATGAAAAAAAGCAACAATTTGTTTAAAAAATGCACAAGTATGAAATCGTGCAATACAGCTAAGTAGTTCTGGGCAGTGGAGGAAGACCAAGGGAGGAGTTGGGGTGAAGATTTTCACCCCAATGGAAAAACCTGGCCTCAAGTGTCAGTGCTGTAACAACACTGGTAGCCATCTCAGCAGAACCAGGCCTGAATGGCTTCTGTTCCACAATGGAGACAGCTGCATTTTATCAGCTGTCAATCACTCCTCCTGCCCCCAAAATGAGACTCTTAGCTTGTTACATCAATGTTAGAAATAAAATGGGTGCATTATTAATTAACCATAATACATTCCAGTAAACAGTAAAGAATGATTATAATTTTTCTTTTTGAATCACTGACAACATAGTTAGGAGAAGCAAATACCATTCAGGGTTCCAACGTAGCATGTTATTTGACATTTTTCATCATAGCAATGCATAATTCACAATAATAATGCAGATTATTCCTCCCCACAGTAACCCGCTAATATTCTCCATCGTAGGAATGTGCCAAAAGTAATCTGGATTGAAAATAGCATGAAAAAAAAAAATCCAGCAGTTCTACAGAAGATCCAGATGCTTAAGTTATTAAGCATCTTAACTCTTAAGATTCTTAAGTTAAAACAATTGTTATTCCTAGTAGAGAAGCCATATTGATTAGCTACAGATACAAATGGGAAGACCTCAAATCTGTGTGCGATGCATGTTTAGAATCAGTGTTATTGTTAGTTAGAGGAAAGATAGGGAAACAGTGGCCTTTCCCAAATCTTGTTGGCCAATGCTAATTAAAGGTTGTTGAATCAGTGTTCAAGAGGATCTGAAGGACGACAAGTAGGAGAGAACAAATGCAAAAGCTAAAATAAATGCACAGATGGAATTCAGTAGTTTCAGCTGAAAAGGAGGTATCTCTTCAGACAGACCACTAAATACTACTCTATAATTTAGTACAATTGGAAGCCATTGGCAATATTTCAGTGAAAGCAATGTCTTCTTCTTTCCTAAGGTCAAATAAATACAGTAACAGCAGATCTTTATTTAAACCTAGGTTGCCCTTCTGATATGGCACAAGATTTTTTATACAGGGGGTAATAACTGCTTGGGTAAAGGAAGCAAGGGTCCCATAGCTTCTCCAATAATTTTTTGTCCAATTGAGTTCACTGTAAGTACAGATAGACCTCAACTTACAACAGTTCATTTAGTGACTGTTTGAAATTACAACGGTACTGAAAAAAGTGACTAATGACTGTTTTACACATTTAGGACCATTGCAGCATGTTCACGTGATTAACATTCAGTTGTTTTGCAACTGGTTCATATTTATAACAGTGATCCCCTTTCGCAATCTTCTGACAAGCAAAGTCAATGGGGAAGCCAGATTCGCTTAACAACCGGGTACCTAATTTCATAGCTGCAGTGATTCACTTAACAACCATGGCAAGAAAGGTTGTAAAATGGGGCAAGACTCACTTAACAACCGTCTCACTTGGTTGTGGTCGTAAGTCAAGAACTATCTGTTTTTCTGTTCATTTGAGGCATGGGTGAGATGTTATTTCATCCCACGAGTGTTCCTTTCTCGATTAAGAATACCCTCTTTACTTTAAATGTGATCCAGATTTTGAGTGGGTGGCCCTGCTGCTAGTGCATTAGCCTGGCTAACATCATCTCCCTGGACCTGCCCCAAATGATATCGGGATCCTTTCATTCACGATACATATGACCTATCACTCACTTCTCAAATCAGCACAATTACTAATACTATAATCCATTCTTTTGGCTATGTGAGAGCACTATCATCGTATTTTTGGCTTGGAGGCTATTAAAGGAAAAGGGCTCAAAAATAATGCACCAATTACTAGCTTAAATATGAGACAGTAGATATTAAGAGAAAAAGAGAAGAAGTATTAAATGTTGAAATAAGAGAAATTTTGGTTACTAAATTTAAGATATTTGGAAATTACCCAAAAATAAGAATGTTATATTGTATTATTAATTAGTTGATGTAAGATGGTGAGAATTCAAATAGATAAGACGTGTATCCTGAACATTAGATCTTGTGATGAATTGTGATAAAGGGAATTGGGGTTATTTAAAACTTGGAAATTATAAATATTAAACGTTAAATTTAAATATTAATGGGAAACTAAAAATTGGGAAAAACTAATTAGGACATTGATTGTCTATAAAGATTGAATGTTAAAATAACTAGGATATGTATAAACTAAAAATTATTGATAAACGTAAGAAAGTTATTTTGATTTAATCGATATAATAAGAATTGTATTAGTTTAAAATATGAGACAGTAAATACCAAGGGGAAAAGAAAGGAAATATTTAATGTAATAGTTTGAGATCTGTACTAAAGATATTTGTATGTTATTGAATTATTGATCAACTCAGCCGCCACGTTGCTTTTCAAATATTTAAATGTAAAACTAGAAAATCAATAAAATTTTCTTTAAAAAAAATAAATAATGCACCATTATTTTAAATATTCCAGACTGGCCTAAAATAATGCGTTGCTATCTATTTATATGGCTCCTCAAAGCCACAGATGGATTGTTGTATTGCGGGATATGCCCAGCTTTTAAATAACAAACTCCTAAAGTCACGGCAGGTAGCAATACCTAGTAAAATTGCTGATTGAAAAAGAACCAAATAAACCTAAATAGAACTGAACTAAGATTAGTAGCTGGCTAAGAGGTGACGTGAAAATCAAAGGATGTCAGACTAGGATTTTATTTTATTTTTAATCCTGGAAGAAAACAAAGACAAACTGCTTGTGCGTTATTACAAAGAAAACTAGAAGTCAAGCTTGATATAAGGGAATATGTAACTTACACAGAATAGCACAAGAAATGTAGGCTGAGTGGCAGAGTTGGCTTGCTTCTGAACCAAGTTCAACTCCGTAATGATCAAATTCCACTCACATGCTCAACACATCCATTTTGTTGGGCTTTAGTGATGGGGCTACACCCAAAAGCAGAGTAGCCACATTGAGGCAGTATGAATAGAAGAGAATATTTGTAGCTTAGGGTTGAACTGTGGTATCCTTGGTACTTTCTGAGCTTGGTTGGATTTTTTTTTTTTTTGGTAAACATTTCATTACCCAATTACCCTACCAGGTAACATCGTCAGCGCACTGATAATGTTACCTAGTTGAATAATCGGTAATGAAACATCTGCAAGAAAACTCAGAAAGCACCAAAACTCCCATGTTCAGACAGTGTTTAATCCAAGCCTACTTCGTACAGCAACAGTAAAGGAGTGTTTCTACAAATTAGTTCCTCCCCCCCCACACACACACCGTATTGCAGGCAGTTGAGAAGACTGCAAGGTAACCTGGTCTACATGGAATACACCTGCATTGTTCCTTCAACTTCCTGAACAGATATTTTCAGAAACGCTGCTGCTTCTTACTCAGCAGTTGGCTAAGAGTAGCTAGTTGCAATTTTTAATTAAAAACAAAACCAAACCAAGAACTGATGAGAAGGAGGGGAGCATTCTTTCCTTACCCTTTCCTCTTCTTTGTTCCTTTCCCAAAATTCCACTGATTAAAAGGTAGAAAGGAACCAGATGTGAACTGCTCATGTTAAAGGGTACAGTAATGCAGAAACATACAGAATCACAGTTCTCATTCCTCCTACTTCTAATTAGAACTTTTCTAGTGTTCTAGAACCCACTTAGTTCTTCCTCTGATATGCAGCGGTGAATTACAGCAGCATTAAAAGCAAAGAGGAGGTAGTTCCCACAGTTGCCATGAGGCACACCATCCTCTTTGGCTCTGGGTCAGAGCTTCTGCTCTGTATATAAAAAAACTGAGCATATCTAGGCTTTAAAGAGCTGAAAGTGGAATAGACAATACTGGGCTAACTCAATTGGTAGCCCATCAGCATAAGTAGTGTTAAGGAGCCATGCCACTCCAAAAGGGCGAAGATCTAGGCAAAATCTCAACTGGAATATTGTTGCACAAAACTGCAACATGAATAGCTACCGTGAAGTATACCAAGACACAGACAGCCAACTGAATACAGCTGCCTAAACAAGCGTTAGCACCATATATATTTGCATATATATATATATGTAAATAAGAGTAGTGAAAGTAAAAGTGTAAAAAATATGTAGATCTAAGGCTAGAAGATTCTTAAGCCAAATCAACGAGCCCAGTAGAAGAATTAATGCTTCCGATCCATTATCCAGAAGTCATGAGAACCCAAGCAAGAGCTCTTTGCTTTCTTGAACATGGAATTCTCAGTTAGTCCGCGATGAGAGCCATCAAGCCTAGCTCTTCCAGTTTTGCTCGGATGATGGCATCCCAGCCTTTGTTCGCTTTGGGATTGCGAGGGGACGGGTGCATCACCCCCTCCACCCGTACCGGGATACCAGCAGCTGACAGAGCCTTGCGGGCACGCTGTTCAGCAAAGCGTCCAATCCCAACGACTGTTGCAACACCCAATAATTTCACAGCTTCACACAGGGCATCATCACATATCTGAAGAAGCTGTTCACGCTGAGCAGCCGGCAGGTCAGCCGGTGTCAGATTGCGCCCACTTTGATTGACAAAGAGCAGCGGGCAATGGTTGTGTACAAAGCAGCGTTGGAAGAACTTTTCAGGCTTGGTGCACACAGAGCGGAAGAAGCCCCAGAAGCGGGCTCCGCTCACCTCCGTATGGGGGCACTCCAAGCCACGGATGGGCCTCTTTGGGTGTTCGCACGCTGGCCGAGACACCTGTCCGCTTATCTGCAGCCAGTCTCGAACAATCTGCACTGCTCCAAAAGGCACCTGGAGGAGAAAGAGATGCTGTTATGAGAAAGGTTTCTTGGTGTGGGCATGAAGTGAGGTCTGCTTCACAACATTTGCAGTGGACATTTAACCCCCAAGTTGGAAAAAATCATCCTCCTGAAAGTGGAGGGGATTTTCCTCTCAAAATATTCCACCCTTCAATAGGGAGAGATTTCTCCATCAGGGTGCCACTCTATTCCCTCTTATTTAGCTCCTTAGTATCCTTTCAGGAAATAGTTCAGGCAACTCACATGCCAAGAAGGTCTCAATACAGCCCAGTGCAGATGAGAACTCCTTGGGGGTTACTTTGAAATTCACAATGGAAAGAAAATGGGAAAATGTGAGGAAAAGGAAGGAAGGAAGGAAGGAAGGAAGGGAGGGAGGGAGGGAGGGAGGGAGGGAGGAAGGAAGGAAGGAAGGAAATAGAGCTTGAAGCTCCAAGTCAGAGGACTACTGAGGAATGCATTTTATCTACTCCATGGTTCAAAAACAGTTGTGATCTCATTGAATACAGTGTAGCTTAATATTGTAGCTCGGCTTTTACATGCAAAACAGGTTGGACTATCATTTCTCAACATCCCCCACAATATTCTATTTTTCTTTATTCAACACTTTTGGGTGTTGTTTCCCATTTAAACAACATCTCAAGAACATTTATGTGTGCTGTCTGGGTATTTCAACAGCTGCTGTCCTAACACACTTGGAGTTCACCAGCTTGGGTAAGGCTACTTTAGCCAGCATCTTCGTATCTAAGTAAAAAGACCTATACATCCTGTGAACGTCAGTATATTGTTCTCGCATTTACATTTCTCAGTTTGGGTATGTAAAGATGGCCCAGGACGGATTGAAAAGTGGACAATGCCTAGTGGACTCTCCTATCTCACTCTTGAGCAGTTTGAAACACACCAGCTATAGAGGTCTATGGAGGTTCTCAGATTCTCTGTGGAGGTCATGGTTGTCCCAAAGGTGCTTTTTCAGGAGGCAACTGGACTTCCTTTTTTCTCTTTGAAGACGTTTCGCTTCTCATCCAAGAAGCTTCTTCCACTAAAGAAGAAGCTGAAGAAGCTTTTTGGATGACAAGCGAAAGGTCTTCAAAGAGAAAAAAGAAAGTGCAGTTGTCTTCTGAAAAAGCACCTTTGGGACAACCAGCTATAGAGGTTTATTGGAAACGATGAAATAGCTGAGGTCCAGCCAATGGCTGTGTTTGGCTGAGCAGCTCAGATTCCACAGAGCTAATTAAGGCTCCAGAGTGGTGCTTGCTAAACTAAATGGAAGCTTTTCTCTTTTTTTTTTTGGAAACTCAATTCATCCAAGCTTGTAGTGGACATGTCTGATGTTGCAAAGAACAGATATACCCACCGAGGATCTCAGTACTATAGCAAAGTTTTTTTTTCCACTTTGCACTTTAGTTGTAACAAGTTTCGGACAATGTTCACTATTTTTTTTAAAAAAAAAGAAAGGTTCAGAACAGCAGTTATAATAAAATAATAAATAAGTAACAATAGAAAGACAGGAATCCTAGGCGAAGTTGAGAGATGCCCTTTCCATGCCTCTCTGAAGCATTAGCAAATGGTTCCAAGTGCACCTCTCTGAGCCCCCAACTATTATTATGTCTCAGGAGAACTCCCAGGTCTCAATTAGCATGGAGACAATAGGCTTAATGTGTTATTGATGTGGTCGTACATTAATGTTGCTGCTCCCTCCGACTTTGATCCGGGGATAATGGTTTCACTGAAGCTCTTCTCTCAGGGCCCCCATCATCCACAGGGAGCCTGGTGGGGACTGGAATAAGAGCCATTTTTCAGTGGAGTGCCCCACCTTTCAAAGTCCTCTTCCAGGAAACCCCATTTAATGTCTACCATTAACCTTTCAGCATTTGCCAAAGTTCTCCCAGGCCTTTACAGTCTTGTTCCCTTTTGGCTTAAATTTCCTCTGTTATTGTGAGGTTTGTTTTTGCTGTTTCGCGGCACTATTTCTGTTCTGATATTTTAGGTTTGCAGACTGCATGGAGAATGCTGTTGTTGAAAGTGAGCTGTATACTTTTCTAAATGATCATTAAAACCAAAATAGGAGCATATGGAGAGGAGACATAGGGTGTTTCTATGCCTACAATGCACGGAGCCTCCAGAGGTTCCTGTAATACAAGACCCTTCATCTCCATAACCTTTCTCACATATAATTAAAGATGACATGTACTAGGATGCTAGCCAAGGAATATCTATGCTCCAGCATTTATATTGGACTCAAACCAATTTAGCTGTCATGACTTCCCCTAAACAATGTGGGAATTCTAAGGAAGGCCTTAAGGTTTTATCATTGGCGGCTACAAGCAAGGCTGGGACTCTTCCCTGTCTGAACCCCTGGAAACAGCAGCCAATCAGCCTGCAGTGTTGAACTAGATCAGGGTCCCATCCTTTGGAGGGGGGGGCAGTTGAACTCATTTCAGACTTTTAAGATAATCAAAGAAAATGTCTCCTGTGAGGAATTTATCATTCGTAAAATAACTGCTATGGCATCTGATTTGCCAAATGGACGGAGCTGCTCACTGCTACTCTTGCTCCAACTCACCTTCTGCACAGACTTTGTCTATGAACTCCTCACTTACTCCCAGTCTTTGTGCAAAGGTTAGGTGATGTGCGTTTAAAACAATCCAGCCGCCACCGAGTCTATGTGAAAACCACGGGCCTTCTTAGAAAGCATTCTGGATTGTGTTTTCTCTTACAGAATGCTAGGTTCTTTTACTTTTTTAATTAAAAAGAAGGTAGTCTTTAAACTAGAGAGCCAGTCTGGTGTAGTGGTTAAAGCATCAGGTTAGAAACTGGGAGACAGTGAAGGAGGCAAGGGCAAACCACTTCTGAAAAACCTTGACAAAAAAACTACGGGGATTTCTCACGATAGCCTCCAAAAAGGACACATTTAAAGTAAGAGGAAAAAAATATTTATTTTTTTTAAAAAATTTATATTTAAATATTTTTGGGGCAAGAATTCTCTCAGATACACTGGCGTAAAGGAGTGTCAAGGTGGGAATCCCAGAACTAAATGGATCTAGATACGGGAAACAAATTTGTTTAATTCACATTTTATTGTGAACTCATCTAACATACTTTCTTAACTAAGCAAACCTCAAAAGGTTATCTGGAAGTATCAGCTCTTCTGTGAATTTTATTTCCCTACCAATAAAAAGGTAGACCCTGCAGAAACAATGCAGTGCATACAAAAGGGTATTATTGCAAATATTATACTAGGGGAAGAAAACATTGCACAATTTGTCTGAAAATATATGCATCAGTAAATAATCCTAAAACCAAGTAAGGAATTTGGAGAGGACTTCTTAAAAGACAAGATTACAAACTGATGTTGAATTAGAACAAGACAAATGGATGTTTGGAAAATAAATCTGTAGCTGAAAGAAATCTAAATTGGTGGATTAGTCAGTCCCCAGTGATACAAAATATGCTTATCTGCATAGACTGAGTGTGTGTCTTTAAACTGAATGCACAAAGCAGGGTTTTGGGGTGTTGAACTATGAGCACCTAAGTTCTGATAACAGAAGAGCTAACGTGAGTTCATAGCACCTCTGGGAAATTAGAATCACAAAATCAGATATTAAATTCCATATGTGGGAAGGCTTTGCCACTGTAATGATGGCTTGATTTGAAACAGGAACTTCTTTTATATTGTAATTTCAACTGATACACATGCAAAGAGATCCTAACACCTCTTGTAATTCTATTTTTGGAACAGACTGAAGAATTTCAGATGCAATTCTTAGTAATAAGCAAGGACCCCAAGGTAACTCTTGCTGTTGCACAGTTTGTTTTCTTAGCTTGTAACATTCGTATATTGCTGACGGCAAAATAGTGCAAATATGAATATAAATCCTTTACTATGTAGCTTTTTTTTGTTCCACCTTGTAGCTCTAATCTGTAGATTTTATTTAGTAAGTTTTATTTAGTCTGGATCATTGATCTGTAATAAAGAATTTGATTTGATTAGAAATTCAGATGTTACTTGATCCAGAAATTTGCATTTGAGAAAAGGTTTGGCTAGGAAAATAACGTATTTTCCACTTGTAGCAAAGATACGTATCTGTCTCCTTTTAAAAATGAGGGGGTTTATGGAAAAAAATAGCAAAGCCAAAGTCTCTTGGTTTCTGCAAAAAATGAAAAAAAGACAACTATTTGAAATTAGGTTATTTAAGAATAACCTAAAAACAGAATTAGCAACAATTCCTATGCTCCTATACAACACTGGATGCAAATTTCATGAACACTGAAAAGGTGGGTTTGTGAATCTCCCATTGGTTTTTAGCTGCATTCTATAGACTACATTTTGGCATTAAATGCTTATATGTATATTTAAAATGAAGATAAAACTAATATAAAGGAAGGGAAAAAAGGAAAAGAAATTGAAGAGAAAGTTAAAAGTGCAAGAAAAGAGAAAAAGAAAATAGAAAAGAAAGAAAAGTCGTGCCGTTGCGGCCTCTGACCCGACGTAGATCTCAACTAGCTCCTTGGTTTACCGAGGAGCTGAGAGAGATGAAACGCCGGAAAAGACGCCTAGAGAGCAGTTGGAGGGCTACCCGAACCGAACCCAACCGAACACAGGTAAGGATACATGTTAGATCCTACCTTGTGGCAATGAGGGTGGCGAGGTCTAATTACTACTCCACCCTCATTGCGTCATCAGATAATCGCCCAGCCACCCTCTTCAGGGTGACCCGCTCCCTCCTTCAACTGAGGGGGGGGACCCCCTGGTGGGGAGGGCTGAGGATTTTGCACAATATCTGAATGACAAAGTCGCTCGGATCCGAGAGGGCTTGGACTCCGACTGGGTGGCCCCGGGGGAGGTGGAGGGAGCAGGTCTTGAGACGATTATATGGGAGGAGTTTGACTCTGTGGCTCCC